TAAGCATGGAGAAATACATTCATAAAGGTGATCACAGATGTTTCCACATCGGGACCTTGATATCATAAGGAAGTTAATGAACTAAAAATACAGAGAGAATTGATTGTCGAATATTAAGATTTAAGAAAGTTGAAGGTATTTTTCATTCAATTTATTAAACAGTACGATATAAAGCATTAAACCGAGATCTTATATTGTTTGCTAAATCTTCATTGAGATTGTTTTAAACAAAGAAATGATCAATAGATTTAATGTGATTAACTATAGTATTGAATAATAATTTTTTCACTTAATTGTAAATGTAAAAATAAACTTTTATTCATCTACAAATTTTCCTAAAACGGTCTCGGAAAACCCCGAATTTCCTATAGACAATTCGAGAAATGCCTATGAATCTCTGTGAAGTTCGGGTATTTCCTGAAATCATAGGCATTTCCTGAATTGCCTGATCTTATCGGGTTTAGCCGGAAACATATATATATATATTATTTTCCACGTTGGATATGACAATTTATACTATGGAATTTACAAAATTTAAACCTTAAAATACCAATATTAAAATTGTAAACTCACCATAATTGATTTATAGTGAGTATTAATTTTAAATATATATAATATATAAATATATATTTAATGGTGGTATTAATTTAAAACAATTTTGTAACATTTACTTTGTGGTACTCTTGTCATTTGCAGCTATTAGTTGTTTATTACAAAGGCGTTACCGGGCCAGTACCTTGCAAGCAAATTATTTTGGCTAAAATCTGCCCTTCAATGATTAAAATATATATTAATAAATATCAAGAGACTAGGGCCTTCGTTTCCGGTACTGTTTCGGTGTACACGCGTTTGGAAAGAGCTAAGAGTTTTTACAAAAAATTTTAAGAATTAAGAGAAGGTTGGGTAGTGTGGAGTGTTGGGTGTGAAGTGTAAATTGTGGTAGTGCAAAGGAAAGGTATGTTTGTGTAGATTAGTTAATGTGTGAGTGATATTAAAAGTAAAAAGTGAAGTGGGTATTGTGAGGTTAGGTTGCTTGAAGTGAGAGTGCCGAGAAATAGTGACAAGTAGACTATTAAGGTAGATTTCTAGAATGACTGAGTCTGACTCAAGTAAAGTACGCTAAAGTAAGAGAAAGGCGCGAGTATTTAAAAGGGGAGTAGGAAAGTATGTAAAAAAGTTGACGTATGAGACTGTATGGATTTGTTATAATTAGTATTAATGATGAAGGATGCAATGGAGAAGGATCTGAGAGAGTGAAGGGAGATTTGATAAAATATGTGTGAAGATATGAAAGGAAGGGAGAGAGAGATGGATGAAATAGAAGAGAGGTTGTAGAAATTACAAGAAATGTGGAATGAGCGGGATATTAAGTGGAAAAAGTAAAAGAAAAGTACGTGGAGATGAATGAATGAATGAAGAATGAATTATTTAGAAAAATGTTTAAAGGTAGTGAATAAGGGGGCAGAAAAAGATGAGGGAAGAGAATATAAGAAGGTAAAGTTGAAAATGGGACCCTAGCAGCATCCGGACATTCAGTATATCCTATGAATGTCAGGATCTCCGGAACTTATTATATCTGTAGGATGTTCCCAAGGACGTCCTAATATATCTTGAGGACATCTTAAGAATATCTAAATTTACGGATTTGCCTAGGATTTCCGTAGGATATTCTAGAATATCCGTTGCTATTAAGGAAGATTTGTCAAGGATACAAGAATGTAGTTGGGAAGATGGTGTGAAGTATTATGTGAGGAATGTTACAGGTGTAGTGGTTGAAGCATGAGGTACATAATAAATTAAATGGAGAAGAAGGGACGGGAGAAAAAAGAATGGAATGAGTGTAGTATTGAACGGATTTGTTGAAGAGAAATAAGTTGACAATGTGTTGAGAAGATTCTGGAGGATTATGGATGGGTAAAAGTGTATGGAAAGTAGACCCGATGGTTGAGAGAGATGTGAAACAGAAGTAGAAATAGGTCTAAAGTAATTGAAAAAGGGTGGACCCTTCTATTGGATCCTCACCTGTTCAATACAGGAGTTAAAAATTAAATCAATAATAACTTCCTGACCCCAAAAATAATAAAAGTGGGTGGTATGACGTAGTATCTCTTTGCAAAAGAAACCCATAAAAGGTGCCACCCTTGCTGAATTCATCAGTCTAGGAATCGCTACCAAGTTAACTAGTCGTGTACTACCTCCAAGTGTTCAACTCCAGTCCAGGAATCGCCTTCAACTGAACTAGTCTACAAGTGACCACCGAATCAACTTCGCGTCTTCTTCGTGTCAGTCCAGCAACCGTGACGAAGTTAACAAGTTGTGTATACTGTCATCGAGTTTGTTCTTCGACTACAGTCCAGAAAATCTCTTCAAGTACCTAGTGCTTTCATTGAGTCTCGTCTTAGACAAGTTCATCAAAGGAGATAATTTCTACTACGAGGCACATTTCTATTTTTCTAAGGACTGCATTACCTTGACATCAATGTCAAATCAATGATTCGGTCACTCCTAGGCTGAAGGGTGTTTTATCTAATTTACATCGACACCTGGAACCCGGACCTTTCACTTTGGCTGGCCCGAAAACAATTTGAGGGAAATCTACTGCATTCTCAGGTTCCGCTAGGAGGTAACGCTAGTTGAGTCTACGACTCTAAGAATAATTTTTAAAGATAAGTAACTAATATTAAAAAATTTTGTCCCATTTAAATTCTCGATTGATTCGTCAAAGTTCTATTTTGTGTCAGTGTCCCTGAAGACATCTGGATCTACTCTTTCTCTCTAATTCCAATTGTAAAGGATTCAAATAAAAACTTTATTATTTTAATTTAACAGTGATTCTTCCTTGAAACCTGTCCCTTAATATCAGATCCTTCCGTTCTGTGAATAAATCAGGTATGAATCACCGATGCCTAGCAATTAAAATAAATAATTTTAGGATATGTTGGTTTCGTTCTGAGACATAACATCAAGATACTAATTTTGAATGAACGTTTTATAAGCATTTTATAAAATCAGCGGATGTAGCAGTGGACCACAGTTCAATTCCTCCTGTCTCAAGATTTTCTCTTTCAGATTTTTAATAATTATATTTTTTTTCTGTCTATTGTTCATAATTGAAATTAATTAATTAATGTAATTTAAATATTCATTTAATAAAAAATCCTAATTGATTGTTCAAAACTTGAAAGGTTAGAAAATTTATAATAATAAGAATTTATCACACAATTCACAGAAATGAAATTTTTTTATTTGCATAATTTAATGTGTTGATTTATAAATTTGGAAAATCTCAACTGTTTGCAAGTAAATAAAAAGTTGAATGAAACAAGGGAGGTGTTTGTAGCAACTCAAATATAATGGAACGGGTTTAAATAGTCGAAGTTTTCATTACGTGTTCCTCTTGAACAGAAAATTACCGTTTAAAGAGAATATATGCTAAGAAGCAATCTCATTTCACCAAGTTTGCTTGGAAAGTGTTTCACTCACCTTGTTTCACTTCTTACACTGCGTTACTCTCCTTTTCCACTTGTCTCCTTCTCTAATGCTTGAGGCGATTCCGAGATCTACTGCTTATTCTACCTTAAAGGCAACGACATTTAAACGACATGCTATAGAGACATTTTATTATCCTGAATCTAACTCCCCAGGCTATAAAAGGGAATTAATTTTCTCCTATGAAAATTAGAAGAAGATTATTTTTCAAATTTTAAACATTGTTCAGTGCAAATATAATACATTTAACTCTCATAAAAAAAATATTTCTTCATCGTAGCAATATTTTTTTTTATTATAAGTGTCTCGTAAACAACATTAATTTACTTCATTGTGTTGAAAAATAGTTTTTTATGACTTTCTCAATATTTAAATTTCATTCTTCTTTAATTACTATTAAACGTTTTATTCTTTTTCGTTTAAAATCGTATTTTTTTCTTATGGACATAAGTTTTCATTTATTAATTGAAAGATAAAATATACATCTAGGGTAGTTGCATTAGAAATTTTTTGAAAAATAATGAGATTTACACATTTCTGACACAATAGCAAAAATGTTTAAAGATGTACAAATATGTATGAAGCTTTTTGTTATACCTTTTCCGAGAGGCGTGGCGTGAAGCTTGTAATTTGTTGCAAATTTTAAGCATATTTTAATGAGAATGTCATGGTTACAACAAACCTTAGCCTTTCAAATGTAAAATGTCTTTTAGGTTGTTAAACTTCTGTAGTAGATCAAAGACGATTTGTTGCTTCGCCACCTGGAATAGAGCCAAAGCATTGTTATTGACCAGCTTTTGGCTTTGCAAATCTCTAGCTTCCGTGTATAATTCACGACTAAGGTGTTAGAGCCAAGTATTAAATTTACCAACAGTTTTCAAGTGATAAATTCAATGCATTTTCTTTTTTTTTTCTCTGAAAAATAGAGAAAAATTTAATTCAAATGGTAAATGTTCTCTTTTGCATATAACGTGGAAATTATACTAAATATGAAAAACATGTCAAATGAAAATTATTGCAAATGAGCATTATAAATAGTAAAACATACATATACCGGATCTAGAATAATTGAATCATCATATATAAGGTTTTTGAAATCTGAATTCGAATTTAAGGTCAGGTTTTCAAAATTCAAAATGGCGGATCCAATATGGCGGATAAATTTAAAATTGATGCGTTGCGTTCGAAATTCATTTCTTGGAGGTTTACGGGGTCGCTGAATACGAATTGGATGTCCGCCATATTAAATTTCTTAAATCTGACTTCAAAAAAAAAAAAAAAAAAGAATCCTGGACTGTCAAGGGGTTAAAAGTGTTTAAAAGAAGGTCAACATGGTCATTTATAAACACACAAGAAATTATAAGGACATTAATTAAAAGTAATTAAAATTAACAACTGATACTCGACTATACAATTTACATTAATATTTTCATTTCCATATATTTTGATATCCGAACAACAAAGAAAAGAAATCTGAGAAAGAAATATTAGTGTGAAAAATGAAGGACTTGTATTTTATACTTTTTTTATTTAGTAAACATAGGGTGATAATATGTACAATAGTAATACCTATCTATGTTAACGATAACACTGCAAGACTGAATTATGCTTTTTATGCATTTGTCTGAAGGTCTACAGCGTCTCGAGTATTTCGCCTTTTATTACACTTCCGAGTCGCAGTTTCCCTTGGTAATTCGATAATCTTAATTCTTTGCTTACATAAAGCGGAAAACATCCCCTGCATTAGTACAGAGAGTGCTTATTGTTGTTACAGCAAAACGCTTCGTCGAATGCAAAGTGACTTAAATCCCTAACAGAAAATTTATCAACTGCGCTTTAACAAAATTGTTTTCGGTAATAACATTCGTTATTTAATTTTTATTTGAAAATTTAATTCTTCTGTTGTGATTTGAATTTCAATTGGGATTACAATTTTAATTTGCTTTTTTGTTGATTTTTCTTTTACGTGAATTATAAACACTCAATTTTTAATTCGAAACTTGTTTTCAAATTGTATTCAATAAATATTAATTAAAATATATTGACTGAATGTAGAGTTACAAAAAGGGATTTTTATATTTTTTTTTTTGACACAATTTTACTTTTTAAAAATTGAGCAAATAACAGGTAGAAAAAAATTACATAAAAATCAGAAAATTAATTTAATTGTAAAGCACTGATAATTGCATGTAAACCATGTTTTCTTTGATTGAATAACACAGAAAGTTTGTAGGACAATTGGAAACATTTAATTGAATTCCAGGTAAAAATATAATTCGAAACTCGTCCAACTAAAGTGGACGAATAGAATGAAAAAAAGAATTCTAAAAAGTGTCATTCTGATACAAGAGCAAGCACTGCTTTTAAGTACTTAGCCGTTAGGCACAAGAGATTACTTTAAGAAAATTACCACATTGTCAGACTAATCTCTACAAAAATTGTAAAGAAAATTTTCAAAGTACAAGTATTCTTTAATTTTAATTCTAAAAATATTTTTATACATGAAACAAAAAAATTTTCATAGTTGATTTGATTTAATTTAAAAAAAAAAAAGTTTGAATCTCTTGACATGGTTGTTTAAAATTATATTCCATTATGTAAAATAATGGTAAAAAAAGTCTCGACATTTCACCAGTTTCTTTTTTTAGAAGAAAGTGTAATAACATTAGTTCTTTATTTTGGCTTTATCCTGTTCTTTCGTCCCAGGAGTTGTTCCCTGCTATTCTTACATTTTTCGCTCTATTTTTCTTGTTTCGTATTCTTTTATATATACTATTTCAACCCTTGAGACACTTTCATTATTTTCACCAAACGTGCTTAACATACCACAAAAGAAAATGCTGAAAATCGATCTTATTCTGTCTTCAACGACAAATTGCATTATTCTCGATTGCATTTTATTGATCAGTCCTTTATATGCAAAACGTGCGGTATACAATTTCCACAACAAATTGTCCAATCGATATAGTATCAAAACATTGTTCTAGTAATATACTTGCGACGAAATCCAATTTTTTTTTGCAATTTTTCACATATTTCAAATGAAATTTATTATTAAATATCGATTTTTTCAATTCTATTATCGCAGGAAAATAAATTTAGGTCAAATTTTGGAATTGGAAAAGTAATAACGTTTTTTAACGTAATTTTTTATGCTGAATTCGAATCTGACGTTAGATTTTCTCTAACACGTGAAATTTCAAAATGTCGGATTCAATATGGCAGAAAAAATTAAAAATTAATAGTATTTGCATGCGCTACACACACTTCCTACTAATCATTCCCACTCTCACTTTCCACTCTCACACTTCCCACTTTCTACTCCCACTTTCCACTCTCACTTCCCACTCCCACTTTCCAGTTAGCACTTCTACTTTCCATTATCCACTTTCACTTCCCACTTTCCATTTCCCTTTCTCATTTCTCACTTTCCACTCTCACTTCCCACTCCCACTTTCCAGTTAGCACTTCTACTTTCCATTATCCACTTTCACTTCCCACTTTCCATTTCCCTTTCTCATTTCTCACTCCCACTTTCCAGTTAGCACTCCTACTTTCCACTATCAACTTTCACTTCCTACTTTTCAATTTAATTTCCCACCTTCACTACCAACTTTCCACTTCCTACTTTCATTCCCACTTTCCATTTTCCATTATTTATTTTCTTTTTCTATTTAATAAAACTAATTTGATATATTACTATAATATATTTCCTATCTTGTAAAATTTTATGATCGCTCAATGTTAAAACTTTTGCAATGATTCAAAATTCTTTTGGCAATTTTTTCTAATCTCCTGAACTTTTTCAAACTTTAAAGGAATGATAATATTCAATGAAAACTCAAACACGACTTGGATCTGCCCATAATTTTGAATGACAAAATTTTACAAGATAGGAAAAGTGAAAAATAAAAGTGGAAAGTGTGGAGTGGGAAGTGGGAGTGAAAATGGAAAGTGGGAAGAGGAAAATGGGAAGTGAGAGTGGAAAATGAAAAGTGAAAGTGGGCGTGGAAAGTAGGAGTTGAAAGTGGGAAAGAAAAGTAGGAAGTGAGAATAGAAAATGTGAAGTAACAGTGGAAAGTAGGAGTAGGAAGTGATAATAAAAATGGGAAGTGACAGTGGAAAGTGAGAGTGGGAAGCAGGAATGAAAAGTGGGAAGTGAAAGTGGAGAATAAGAAGTAAAAATGAAAAATGACAGTGGGAAGTGAAAGTGGAACCTAAGAAGTGAGAATGGAAAATGGGAAGTGACAGTGATAAGCAGGAATGAAAAGTGGGAAGTGAAAGTGGAAAATAAGAAGTGAAAATGAAAAATGACAGTGGGAAGTGAAATTGGAACCTAAGAAGTGAGAATGGAAAATGGGAAGTGACAGTGACAAGTAGGAATGAAAAGTGGGAAGTGAAAGTGGAAAATAAGAAGTGAAAATGAAAAATGACAGTGGGAAGTGAAATTGGAACCTAGGAAGTGAGAATGGAAAATGGGAAGTGACAGTGGAAAGTAGGAGTAGGAAGTGAGAGTGGGAAGTAGGAATGAAAAGTGGGAAGTGAAAGTGGAAAATAAGAAGTAAAAATGAAAAATGACAGTGGAAAGTAGGAGTGGGAAGTGAAAGTGGAACCTAGGAAGTGAGAATAGAAAATGGGAAGTGACAGTGGAAAGTAGGAGTAGGAAGTGAGAGTGGGAAGTAGGAATGAAAAGTGGAAAGTGAAAGTGGAAAATAAGAAGTGAAAATGAAAAATGACAGTGGAAAGTAGGAGTGGGAAGTGAAAGTGGGACCTAGGAAGTGAGAATGGACAATGACAGTGGAAAGTGGGAGTGGAAAGTAGGAGTAGGAAGTGAGAGTGGGAGTAGAGGGTAAAAAGTGAAAAATGTGAGGTGAAAGTGTAAAGTAGGAGGTGAAAGTGGAAAGTAGGAAGTGAGAATGGAAAGTGACAGTGGAAAGAGAGAGTGGGAGGTGGAAGGTAAAAAGTGGAAAATTGGAAGAATAAAAAAAAAACTTTTTACTAGGAGTTCAACATTTAAATTTTTTTAAATGTAATTCCTGATTTGTAATTAGGAAGTCAAAAAAAACTCAAGTACCAAATTTAAAGCTAACCCGTTTGATTCTTAATGTTTTCGTCTGCCATATTTGATCCGCCATTTTGAATTTTTTAAATCTGACTTCAAATTCGTAATCAGTGACCCTAAGTCGTAAATTTCGACTTTCAATAACAATTATTTTAATTAGCAAAAAATTAAAATTGCAATTATCTCAAAAACCTGATGTGTAATGAAAAAACAAAATATCGATTCGAGTTCAACATTTCAATAAACTTTTATTTAAAAACTATTATTGAAAAATATTTATTGTAACAGAATAATTGAAATAAAAACTATGGCACCAATTACAGAAATATTTATCACCTGTCGAGATATTCAAATATTAATGAAGTAAATTAAATACATAAAGATAAAAGCAAAAAAATAATTAATGTTTAAATAGGGAGAAGCTGTAGAGCGGAAGAATATACACGAATTGTACAATTTGCGAAAAGCATTTAATGGTTGTTTTAACATAACAATAGGAACATAACGAAGGGAACGTCGTGGTCGCATTCATCACAGTTTGTCTTTATTTGCAAAGGGTAGCTCCACTTTAAAGTACACACTGACTGGAATCCTTGACGAGTTCAGTTACAAGAGACACTATACAGAATAGAAAGTTGAATTGCAACAAGAGAACCTCTATTCCCCACCCCCTTTAAATTATTCGACGTTGTAGTCCATCCGACAAAATTCATCTTGCATTCGGCATAACGTTTGTTCTGCCGCACAATTTTATTTATGATACAGAGACTATATACAGAGTCAACTTTACCAACGTTGCCTCCACGGGTAAATTAAAAGCTTTCAATATTAATCAAAAAACACGGTCGAATTACGTTCATTGTTCTATTCTGCAGAAGGGAAACAACAACCAATTTTAAATTTATTTCACTACCCTTTTTTAATCTACTAAATAATTTATTTGAAACAATATGTCGTATAATTGTCACGAAAAAGATTAAAAGTTCAATTTAAAAAAAATTGAGGGTAAAATTTTATTTTACAAATAAATGATCAATTTAAATCTCTCCCAAATTTCAGAAGATTAAAATCTTAAAAATAACGGCAACGAAAAATGTTATTTACTTTTTCTGCGTTAAAATCTTGAAACTATTTTTAATCCTGTTAGGTTGAAGTTTTGTAAAGATAACTGACTTAAGATCATTAGCCATTTCACGTTTTTCCCTTGAGTCGTTTCCGCAGTAGTAGATTATTCGGATTGTCGTTCTGGTTTTTTTTTTGTTTTCAGTGCCGACTAAGAACAGTCTACGGACTTGCGCGGCTTAGCAAGATTAAGCTTTTAAACCTGTAGTGGCATCGACAGTAAAAGCGATGAAAGAATTTTCTACAATCAAGGTACATGGAAAAAATTTCGCTCTTCATTTTATATAAAAGTTTCGAATTCGTCAATTTCTTGAGTTCTTAATTAATTTGAAAAAAGCCTTTTTTTAATGTTATTAAAAGACGAATTAAATGCATGAGAGAAAATTTTTGCTTTGGATGGAATTTCAAATTAAATCTTATGTTGTATTTAATTTAGATGATCAATAAAATATTTTCGATGCTTATCTTTTTATAAATAGAGTAAGAATTTCTTCGAACACTCCACCCAACACTAAATAATTTTTATTGTTAAAATTTTTTTCATAGTTTATTAAAAATCACTGATATCAAAAGATTTAACAAATTTTTTTTTTTTTTTATATTAACTATTGAATATTTTTAACATTTTAAATATTTATATCTGAAAAATTTGTTAATTGTTTGTGATGATTAAGTTTGCATTGTTTTTGCCTTGATTAGAGTTTCAAGTGGATTTTTTTTTATAAATGAATTGAATTTAAATAAATAATTCCTTTCTTTCAAAATTTCAAAATAATATTTCGTTGAGAAAGAAATGGCACGCATTAGCAACTGAATAAAATCATTATATCTTTTTTATATCCTACACGACGCGACATGCACGTACTGCCAAGCGCAACCACATCTTCGCATTAAAACAGATGAATGTCACAAGCAAGGAAGTTAGTTCAAATGGTTATGTGTATCTTAAGGATCATGGCGCTTGGCATTTCATTTCAAATTTTGATTTAAGACAAAAACAATGTAGTCAGAAATTTTTTTTGAAATTATTGTTTTAAAAAAAATGTTAAATGTCAAATTTTTAAAAAAAATTTTTTATTTTTATTTATGCTATAAATAGGTATTCACTGTTAATAATAGCATCAAAAAAATAATCTGCAAAAACATTTGATAATGATTTTTAATATAAAACACTATAAGAAAAAGAACACTTTAAGTAACAATAAAATTATTTTGTTTCGAGTAGTACTTTTTAGGAATTCTTACTCTTAACAATTAGTTGAATGTTAAAACTAATAAAATCAAAATTAAAAATACGAAACTGATGAATGACAATGTTTTTGACTGACCTGGCGAAATCTTTTCCTTGTATTAGTTTAGTTTTTCATGATTTTGTTTATGATTACACTGATGATATGTACAAAATGATGAGAGACACCAAAAGACAACTCGAGGATAGAATAGGACCCGCAGTTCCTGTTTGCATTGCTTCCGGTCGTTCACCTGAAGGAAAATAAAATTCAATTATATTAAATTCGATTCATGAACATCATTAAAATTTAATATTAATTATCTTATTCTCATTATTCTTTCATAATATTAATTATCATCTTTATTATATATAAATTGTGAATAATTAAAAACCAAACTGATTCATTATAATTTCATTAAACTTTTTGCTAGACAAAAAAAACGCTTCTATTGAATCAAAAAAATTTTAAATAAAATATGAGTAAAGAAATTATATTTTACTTTATTAATCAAGAGGTAAATAATTAAAATGAGTTAAAATATATGTATAGGAACAATTAAATTAATTGAAATAATCCAACTTTACTGCAAGCTCAATTATTACTTTAAAAGATGGTCGGTAGTTTGATTTAATAATTTCAGTATTTTTAAATGTGTGATTAGATTTGAAAAAAAAAGTTTAAGCATTTAATTTAAAATAAAATCTGATTTAGTGAAGTACGGCAAGTGGCCCATTTAAAAAGATTCCCAACGGAATTTAAATGTATATTCAGACGAAAAGATTAGAAGCAGATTCAAAGAGAATAGTAAAGAGATTTTAAAAGGCTGCATGTCTCTTCTCTACAAACTTAACCCAACGTAATTGAAACATTATTATTTTATTTTGTTCAATATTTAATGAAAATTTAGTTTTTCACGGTTTATCGGTATAAACCGACACTTATTGTTAGTGTTGCATGTCGTCAAAATAACAATTGAATTTTATAATTCACTACTTTTATCAAGGGAGACGATAAAGGAAATTACACCTCTTTTCTCCTCTTCCATAGTATTCTTCTTATTACTATTATTTGATAATTTCTTCAATTACGTATTAATTTTTAACATTTTAATTGTTTTCGAAATAAAAGAGTATGAAATATTTCAATTTTTAATGCATTTTTTTATTTAATCACAATATATTTAAAAATAAATTAAATTTTAATGGAAAGAAGTAAATTTCAAAGAGAAAAAATTTGTAACTGAAATTAATGAAGAAAAATAATATGGAGAACTTTAGAGAACTTTGAAATTACTTTATTATAAAAAATACTTTATCGGAAAAAAAATGAAATTAATAAAATGATTAATCCTCTCCCGCTTGTCAAGTTCCTCCTACCTAAATAAGCTAAATGCATGAGAAAACCTTATCAAGCGAATCGAAATGCAATTTCCTGCTACGCCATAACCAAGAATATGAAGGATTTATTTCAAAAATCTAACAAGACAACTTCCATGATTCAAGTAACGAAGTATTTACAAAATCTATAATTGACTTCTCTCCAGTAAAAATAATATTAAATCTCCTTTTATTTGCTTTGGATTTTTTAAAAAAGTTCTTTTTAATTTAAAAAAAAACGTGTAGTTATTCCAATTATCACATTTCATAAGCAGGCACCTATCTTGATCAAATCGTAATTACGTGAATATTACGAGCTGCACGGTACATCTGCGAGAGATTAACTAAATTTAACTTCTAATTAATTTCTTAATATATTATTAATTTGTTTTCCCAAAAATTGAATATGCAGTTTTATCATATATGGAATATGGATTCCCTTGGTGTCGATTACGTAACTTATTTTATATTCTTAATTCCTGATTCCACATTCCGAATTCCACTTTAAAAATTCCAGAATTAAAAATCAAAAATAAAAAAAATTTTAAATCCGGAATATGTAATTCAAAAAGTGGAATCCAGAATGTGGAATACTTACGGGATGCCGAATTTAAAATGTAGAATACGGAATGTGGAATCCTAAGAGTGGAATGCGGAATGTAGAATTTATATTTCGGAAAGTGGAATCTAGAATGTGTAATTTGAAAAGTGAAATAGGTGATTTGGAATTCGAAATGTGTGATTTGGATTTCGTAATTGAGCATTCGGAAGCAAACATTCCGAATTCCCGATTCCACATTTCGTATTCCACATACGGAACTCCACATCCTGTATTCCACATTCCACTATCCAAATCCACATTCCGTTTTCCACATTTCATATTCAATATCCCGTGTTGTGGATTTCGGAAAGTGGAATTTTAAATGTGAAATCCGGAATGTGAAATACCGAATTTGGATTTCGGAAAGTGGAATTCGAAATGTGTGATTTGGATTTTGTAATTTGGCATTCGGAAGCACACATTTCGGATTCCGAATTCCTGATTCCACAATACGAAATCCAAAGCCCACATTTCATATTTCATATTCGGAATTCCACATCCCGTATTCCACATTCCACTATCCAAATCCACATTCCGTTTTCCACCTTTTATATTCAATATCCCGTGTTGTGGATTTTGGAAGGGGAATCTGGAATGTTGAATACGGGATGTGGAATCCTAAGTGTGGAATGCGAAATTTATATTTTGGAAAGTGGAATCTGGAATTCAAAATCCAATCCGAAATATGTAATTCGAAAAGTTAAATCCGAAATGTGTAATTCGAAAAGTGGAATCCATAATGTGGAATACTGGATGTGTAATTTAAAATGCAAACTACGGAATGTGGAATCCAAAGTGTAGAATACGGAATGAGAAATTTGTATTTCGAAAAATGAAATCTAAAATGTGTAATTTAAAAAGTGGATTACGGGATGAGGAATACTAAATGTGTGATTTTTATTTCGTAAATTGACATTCGGAATCACACATTATGGATTTCGAATTCCCGATTCCACATTACGAAATCCAAATTCCACATCCCGTATTCCACATTTCACTTTCCGAAATACACTTTCCCTTTTTCACATTTCGGATTCCGCATTTCATATTCAATATTCCGTATTGTTGATTTCGGAAATTGGAATCTGGAATGTGGAATGCCGAATATTGAATACGGGATGTGGAATCCAAAGTGTGGAATGCGGAATTTGGATTTCGGAAACTGGAATTCGAAAAGTGGAATCCGGAATGTGGAATACGGAATGTAGAATTTGGATTTCGAAAAGTGGAATCTAGAATGTGTAATTTGAAAAGTGGTATTCGGGACATGGAATTTGAATTGTGTGATTTGGATTTCGTAATTTGGCATTCGGAATCACACATTCCGAATTCTGAATTCCCGATTCCATATTACGAAATTCAAATCCCACATTTCGTATTCCATATCCCGTGTTTTTCACATTCCAGATTCCATTTTCCGAAATCCACATTCCTTATTCCATATTTGAAATTCCATATCCCGTATTGTGGATTTCGGAAAGTGGAATCTGAAATGTGAAATTCAGTATGTAGAATACAAAATGTTGAATTTGGATTTCGTAAAGTGGAATCCGGAATGTGGAATTCGGAATATGATAGGGCCGTATTTTACTCAAGTTTTCACTTTTGGAAACTTCTGAGTCGTGTATTTGTCGAGTTATGTGTAATGGTTGTACAAAATGAAGTTTCAAATATTGAATAAATTGACCAATTGTTATAGTAAGTTCTGTGTTTTATTATTTATTTGTATTTCCAATATATTCGTATTATTAAGAATTGTTTGGACTAGGAATCGTCGTTGGTAATTCACTCTGTCCAATATTTCGTCGTCTTGTCTCACCGTCGTTTTGTATCCGTCGGTTGGTCTGAAGCGGAATCACCTCTGTGATATTTTATTTAGTTTTTGGTGTATCATTCAACGATCGATACAATTAATTTTATTATTAAAAGACAAGTTCCAATTTTTATTTAATAAACCAAACAAATTATTGCATTCAACTAAATTTTTTTTGTTTTAGCAACTTCCACTATTTTAAAAACATCACTATGCAACTGAACACTTAAAAAATATTATGAATCTTTGAAACCGACATAACCGATATAAAGATCACAGTATGATAGAAATTTTATTTTTACCTTCAGGCTAATGTTTCTCAAAATGCTAAAGGATTTGATTATTATATAAAATTTTCTAAAAGTTTTTAAAACGTTCTTAAAACTTCTAATTTAAATTTTGAGATGATGTAAACGATTGAAAGAAATATTTTACAAGCAAAAATATTTTCGCGTCTTTCGTATACAGGTTAAAGAGAAAAAGAAAAATTTAATGATTTCTTGAACATAAAACTTCAAAGGCATGTTTCTCTAAACTGTATTTTTCAAACTGCCGCGCCGGTAACTATCTAGTATCAAGCTTTTAGTGTTTTAAAATCACCCTAGGTGTGCATAATAGATTATAAATTTAATAATGTAAAATGGATGATTATATTATAATTAAAGATTATTATTACCACGGTTTCCTTTTTCTGCAAAATATTAATTAATATTGGTAAAAAAAATTTTATTTTCAGTTTTTTATTATCTAAATTTTAATGATTTGGGCAAAAGCATACTAGATCACATATTATATAGTCTAAGTTAATACCAAAAATAATTTCAAAGTTATAATATTTGAATATGTTAATTTATAATCCTGGACAGCTGTCCAATATACAATTTGCAAATATTATAATAGTTTTAATCTAGATTATATCTTGTATATATAATTCATTTTTCTCCGTGTATAGAATATTGTACAGTGTGAGAATAGTGTAATTTATTACTCGTTCGAATAATGAAAATCGTGATTAGTTTGATTATACAGATAACAAAGTTATGAATAGACCTATAATGAAATTGCTTGTATATTACATTTTGGAGAAACAGTTTCGAAGTTCCAATTTGCATTTTCCGTAAATCGAAGTAGTTTAACCGTGCTTACACTCACCATTGAGAACATGGACCCTTATGCTTGCGGTCTTGGCGTTGCTTGGCTTGCAACTGTACTCCCCGGAGTCAGATGGCTGTGCTGCTTGAATAAGCAGCCATGAAGTGGTGACATCGCTTCCCTTTTCGGTTATCACTGACACACCACCCCTGGGACTGTCATAGCTAAGAACGGCGTCGTTGTAGTACCAAAAAATATAAGCTGGAGGTTCCCAACTAAAGTGGATGGCACACGTAAGGTTTATTGTGCTTCCTGCTCCCACATATAATTCTGGACCTCCCAAAATCGCTGCCGTAGGTACTGCAAAATATCATATAATACAAAATTTTTAAAAAATCATTTCCCGAACCTCTTTCATAAAATTAACTATTATAAAACTTTTTGCAGCAAATTTTTATCATATATGATACATTTTTATGCATTTGATTAAGAATACCTGGAAGACAAATGGATTTAATAGTAAATTATAAAAACATTTGGTTTTGATGTCGCTAAACCGAGGTCCATTTAATCCATCAGATCAGGGTTTTACATAACATCAAAAAAAACAATATGGTGGATACCTTTTTTGGAAAAATTTATCGGAATGTGACTTTACTTCAAAGGTGAACTTAATATTGTTGACCTACTAGAGGGATTTTTATTTCCTTTGGATGTCACACGAGTTCATTTGACGCCAACAGTTAAAGAACCTTAAAAAATCTAATTGGAAACCGTTTCTATAGAAAAATCCAAATATACTCGAACTATTTTCTTCAGCAATTTATATTTTAAATTAAATCCTTCGTCCTCATATTAGAAATGAGATAGTATAGGAATTTACCTAAACTCATACGGGGATTACTCATCTATATTCATGTAAATGATTGTATCTGTTCCTGTAACTTTCGTGCAAATATTTATTCCGAATATCTATTACATTTACCTTACGTTTCTATCCGGGAATAACAGTACAATGTAATTTAAAGTTTGACGGAATAGTCTCACTAATCGTAAGATACGAGTCTGAGCAATTGATTAGATTTCAAACAATTTTGGAAGTGGAATTATGGTCAGTGAACTTAACATTCATAATTAAAGTCTATATTCAGCGTTTTCAATCTTTATTTGAAAATCATGCACATTTCTGAGCAGTTCTAAAACCGTACGCATAATTAAGTCGTCTTATTTTATTAACTTTATTAATATTAGATTAGATTAACCTATCATTGATTATAAAGATTATTTGCATTTGACGAATTTTTGAAATCTAATTCTTTTATAATTTAGGTAACTGAAAAGAATTTCTACCATTGGAGATTTTTCTGAACTCTTGAATCATTTAATAGTGTGATACACATTGAAAGCACTTTATACAGTTATTGAACATCTGCTAATAAATCAAATTCAATGACCAATAAACTGTCGACCTTTAATTTTGTTGAAGATTTATGCAAAAAGCTTTGTAAATTGATAACCACAACTAATAATGATTGGGAGAAAGCAATCAAAGAATTTAAACAATAAGAAGCTGAATTTTATGCACCGAACAAACTGTTTAAAGTTTACTAGAAAAGAAAATAAAGAAGCATGGAAAATTCACTTGATCCTTTTAATTTTTCTGTAGACATTATCCATTAAAACAAGATGATGTTGGTGCTTTTACAGTCTATCATTACCTTGTAACGGTGCATGAGAAACAATTTTATTACGGCATAGAATCGATTTTAAAACGCGCAGCTACTTGAGCTAGTTTCCAAGCGCCTGCTATTTATTCGCTGACAAATGCGACCGGCTTTTTTTAATTGGATGGAGCAACACCTCGATCATCTTCAAGTTATGTTCTAAGCATATAAATTCACAGAAAAAAAAAATTACACTTTAAAACCGTTTTTCCAATGCAAAGCAGGTTTCCAACATTTCGACAAGTTATGTTTTCACCAAATTACCATGGAAATTTTACAGATAAACATACATTTCTTCGCTGAAGATGGTGAAATATTTAAATCCTACTAAAGATTTGTTACAATTGGTTATTATACATTTTTAAAAACTGCTATGTTACATTTTTAATCCACGACTACAAGGATATTTCTTAAGTGAAAAAGGACTTATGTTTATTCTTCTTTTTAATTAAAGATTTCTTGGATGTTCATTTTTATAATGAGAAATTTTTAATAACAAACTTGAGCAGACTGCGAATTGCACCAGACTATCCCGACAGACACTAACCAACGATATCAAACGACATGATAATAACCTACTATCAGTATGCTAATACCTACTACCCTTAATAGATTAAGTTTTTTTTTCTCTTTGTTAGCTGTTTAGCTTGTTGTTTAATGTCACTAGATAGTGTCAGTTAAAGTTTCGTTTTTAATTATTAAGAAATATTTTTAAAAAATCATAGCATGTTTGCAGCAATCTAGCATGAATTCCTAGAAAAATTGCAGCAATCTGTCAGGTAAAGATTGTTGGAACTTGTCATGAAAAGTTTCTTATAATCCCTCTTAGAAAGCTTGTTGCAATCTTGCGCTGTAAGCTTGGGGTTCACTTGGTGTTAGCACCTGTTATCAATAGTGGTGCTTAATGATATTCTATAGTAGGCAATAATTTTCATGAGAAACCGAAGCGTTGATTTCACCGTTGATTAGGTGTAACTCCAAAATTGAATGCTGAATTCAAGAGCTCTCTTCTAGAAAGTTTTCACTGGAGGCAGTAAGATAGTTGTCAAGAGAAGCTCACGGCTTGTATCGCAGCATGCGCAAAAGTTATTTCTTGTTAGTTAACTCAAGAGTTACGTAATGATCCTCCAATACTTGAGTCATTATGTATTGTCTGTAAAATCATGTGTAACAATCAACATGACAAAACCGTTGTTTGGAGAGGATTGATTTTATCAAATTATAATTCCTTATCTAATATTGCTACTACAGATTTAAAAGTCCAGAAGCTTTTCCAGCATTTATTGGAGTGTGCTGTCTCAGCGAGTTGGCGGTACGAGGTAAGTATAACAATTGCAGTTTAATCAAAAAAAGTATATTTGTATTTTTTAGAACTGATAATATGCTTGTTAAAAGTAGAAACTTCTTCAGCATATATTTACTAATATTTTGACAACTCTTATTGTGTACATTTCATGATTATTTGAAGCATTGATACATGTAGAATAAAGTCACAAATCTTTTAGACCCAATCTCAACTCAACCTCTGGAGTTGCATCTAATGATTTATTTATTAATAAATAAATTGACCACCTCGATTATTGGTCATATCGTGGGCGGATTTATTATAATTTACGTTGCCAACAAATTAATCTCAATTGTTGAGAAGGCTTCTTTGTTATTTCCGATCCGTTGACAAAATCTCTAATCCTGCGGCCCTGTCCTCTAAATCGTCCTGTACTTGTTCTCAAGTAAGTGAGATTAGTTATTCTTGTTTATCGGCTTAGTGATACATGGTCACGATAAGGATAACAGGAGGGATAAGACATTCCGCACCATCTTCGAAAGAGGAGAATGGAGATAGATCAGCGAGTAAGGGGAAGAAACTCGGCACCACTTGAAGAATATAAAACACAATCGCTTTCTTGGACAGTGGCCAGCGTGAAGACTAGTCTGATTTTTTCAGTGTTAAAAGTTACTGAAATTTTAAGTGAGTAAATCATCGACGAACATGATGTAGATGTCTATCGTTCCAATAATATTGATTATTTTTGTCGTCCTAGGGTTTTTTGACAATATTTTTATATTTCTTAATGAATCGAAAAATTCTGCTTTTCGAAATTTTTGGGTCAATTTACTCCCTTATAAAATAACAGGGAGTAAAAATGGAAAGGTTTGTTGTCTAGCATTTTAGATAAAAAATTAAATGGTTTTTGATTTTTTAAAATCGGTTCTGTACATTTCGCGAAAAGTGTTTTCCTGTTTTCAAAAATGTGTTTTCGTGATTTACTCGTATTATTTACTTTATAAACAAACACAACTACTGTGCATATTCTCTATATATTTCCCATTTAATTAGTTATTAGCATTTAATTTCTGTGTGGAAAAGCTTAATTGCTAATTAATTATTCCATCCAATTTAATTAAAGCTCCAATTTATTAATTACTATATCTTTGTATTATTATTCTTTGAATAAATATATAAACAATTATCTAAGTTAGTAGAAGAGAATAAAGGAACTTATGTATAATTTATAGTCATTTTACATGACATTCAAAGTATTATAATAACTTCTATGTCCTCGTCACAGTATAACTTAATAAATCATTGTCACTTATAATATAATAATTATGAATTATTCGAATCCCATAATATTAAAAAAGGAAAGACTGCAATTCAACACAATAATTAATTATTTTTAAATTATTAATTAATAAATTCAGTTTCAGCATAAAAACAAAAATAATTATAACTCAATTTTTTAAATTAGTTTTTATTTTATTTATAAACGATTATTATGCATTAATTATTAAATTTTAAGTATGCTTATATCTTTGACTTCTGCTCTTGAACTTTAAGTTTTGAAAAATTTGTAATTGTAATAATGTAAATGTAATGTAAATTTTAACATTGCTTGTTTCTGTGTAATGTTTTATGAATTTATAATGTTTTTGCGTCACATACAGTAGGTGAAAACGTATTTTGAATATTTCTTTAATTAAAAAACTGCATGTTTTCAAATTTTGTTTACTACGTAAGTTGTATAATGTTCTCTTTAAGACATTTCTTTAATTATCATCAAGGTTGGAGTCTGCTATGAATATTTTTAAAGTCTTTTAGTACAGAATTTTTTTTAGCTTCAAAACTCTTGCTTAAAGTGAATGAAGTTCTATTTTTTAAAACATATTGCTGAATTTATGAATAACATTTTTAATGTATATGCACTGAGGGACCTTTTGGACTGCAGTGGAACTATGCAAGTGAAAACAGTTCTACTTTGGTTTTGGTGAGCTGCTAACTTATTTTTGTCATGTAACTGTCCAAAATTTAAGTTAGCATCCCACCGAAGTATTGGGGATACTCTTTTGGTTTGTAGCTAACTAAATTTTTGGATGGGTGTCACAAGAAGAATGCAAAATTATTCAAAAATTGCATTGAAGATCCTTTATTGAAGAATTGCAAAGATGACACAGAAATACTTGACATTATACCACCACCAGAACTTCATTTGCTAATTGGAGTTCTTAATAAAATTTATACAGAAATGTCGAAAAATTTTCCAACAATCAACGAGAAGTTTGCAGAATTATATGTTACGTTCAACATGAAGTCACTAAAAGTGGCTCTGCTTTTAAGGGCAATTCTTGTAAAATACT